CCAGGCGGAAGAAAGATTGAGAACCAACCAGCCGGTAGCCAGTGCCCCCGTAACGCCCCCGATTGACGTGACGTCTGAACTTGTTCCCCAACGAGCCTCGGAAAAACCACCACCACGTCCCCAGCGAAAGAGAGGCCCGTCGACGGTCGATCAGTTTGAACCGTACAATGTAGCCCAGGACATTCTAGAAATGCAAGCAAATGTCACCGTTGGACAAATGCTACAATACCCGAATCAAAAACGTCACTTGGCCCAAGCGCTGAGGAGACCTATCATAGTTGAACCGATTCCACCACTCGAGATGGAAACGAACGTGATTCAGCACCCGAGCAACGAACGAACTACCGCCGCCCGCTGCTATATACGAATTAAGAACAATCCAGTTGTCGCCGTTTTGGACTCTGGTGCCGCTATGTGCTTGATGTCAAAAAGGATGATGACAAAACTGGGGTTGAAAATCGACGAACCATCCACCACTGTCGTCGTAACTGCGAATGGAACCAGGGAGCGAGCCCTGGAAAAAATTAACAACCTCAAGGTAGCGATCCGCGACATGTTGATTCCCACCACATTCCAAGTGATTAAATCCACCGACGATCTTTTGTTGTTGGGAATGGAGTGGTTTGTAAAAGCTCGGGCTCAGTTACACTTCGCGGAAAAACAACTTTACCTTAGGTACAAAGGCAAAACCAGCGAAGTACCAATATCTACCGACGGAGGTCCCCCGGTTGAACCTGTTGTCGAACCCCCACTAAGCGAGGATCCGTTTGACGAGTTTGAGTATGAAGATGAAGCCCTGGACGAAGCCGAGGGTTACTATACGGAAGAAGGTCTCGACGACGAGCCGTTCGAAAACCCGTGGAGAAACCAGCAGGGTTCCCCCGCGTATACGTTTAATATCGAAGAACTAACAACCCAGGACCCCAACCTCGAAGATGCGCCCCCCGTAGAAGACAGGTTAGAAGGAAGCCTGAAGGATGTTCCCTTGGATCCGCATGGGAAAGAAAAAGCCCTCGGGATGCTGCTTGTGGAAAAAGATATTTTTGCTCGCGATGTAAGTGACCTCGGACAAACGGA